ACCCTGTTTATGTGCATTCCAGTGATCATTAACAAAGGCCACTTGGTGGAAACTCATGATGAAAGTGGCTTTAAAAATGGCTGTATCAGCTGCAGTTTTGGTGAGACTGCAGTGGCTTTACATAGAGTGAAAACCCTGTGTCATCAATTTGTGTTCAGCCAACCTTACATGGAGAGAAGAGGCAGTTCAGTCAACCATGCAAAATCAGGGCAACAGAGATATCATGAATTTCATTTGGACAAAGGTTTAAAATTCTGTATGTTAATAGAGATTCCCTAACTATGTGTAAGGTCTGTTCATCAATGCATGATTGGTGAATTAGGACTTAAGCAAAGACAAGCTGTCTGTAGATTTGTCTAACATCCTCTTTCTCAGTACCTGTTGTTCTGTGTTTCCTGGTCCCCAACTTGGAGATCAAGGTAGGAGTTAAAGGATTCCTTATGAAGGAAACATCTTAGAATTTTTCCACTGTGGTGGTTCTTCCACTTGATATCATATGACTAAGCTCAGTGTAAAAGCTGACAAGGGCTTAATGAAAGTAGTAGAACATGGGAGATTAAGACAACTAGTTTGCTTCAGCCTGGGATTTCATTCTCCTGTTTCTTTGTAATCTCCAGAGGTAGAGTATCTTAGCAGTGAAGAGAATAAAAGATTTCAAAGTCCTGCAGTATATAGTTTAGGACTTGTGAGATCCTGGGAAGATTTACTAAACCTTTATGTGCCTCAGTTTCTTCATTTGTAACATGGGGAAAATAAAACATGTAATTGTGTTCATGGGAGAATTTGCTGGAGATGACCACATGAGGACTAAGTACCTTTTGTATTATTTTAGTTTGTATAAGTAGTTTTAATTGGTAATTGTGGTCTTAGATTTTTAAACATTGGATATTCACGTCCAAATTCAAGCATTAACAACACATGCATAAATTACTGATCATTCTCTATACTGAAACTTTGAGAGCATTATTTTGCTTCTAATATAGTATAGAAATGGTGGTTACCTTTTACAGGTAGATGACACATGCACATAGACTGTCAAAATACAGGACATGCTCACAGTTTAAACTTGGTTGAAGGAAATTGCTAGTAGGTGAACAGAGTTATCGCAATAAGGTAGAACTGTCCTTCCCAGAGAATTATTTAATAGGTGAATGTAAAATTATTTGATTTGTCATAGGTTAATTTTAGGGAGTTCTTGTATTCCTGGGAATTGGTGGGTGTTCAGTTGGGGAGAAACTAAAAAGCAAACCAAAACAAAAAAGCCAACAACAACAAAGGCAACATGAACAGAGTAAGTGAACAACTTACTTCCCAACACATACATACACATACACATGAATTTATACACACACATATATATACATATATGTATAACACACACATGTATTTACATATGCATATACATACATGTATTACATATTTCAAAAAGAATCCCTGGCTGGCACAAATGATAAAGTCTTAACTAATAACTGGAAGGTTGGCACTTTGAGCCCACTCAGAGATGCCTCTGAAGACAAGTCTGGCCATCTGCTTCTGAAAGGCCAGAACCTTGCAAAACATGCAGAGAACAGTTCTACTCTGACCTACATGGAGTCACAATGAGTTAGAATTGACTCAATAGCAAATAACTGCAACTAAACAAAACAATGTATTTTTTTAAAAATTAAAAGTATGAACATTGTTTAAAAAATCACCTACAATGTCTAAATGGAGAGTGTATCCAAGATCATATACAGGGTTGGCAGACAATGGGCCTATAAGTTCATGTGAATGATCAGAATTCCCAGGTGTATAGTAGAGCTGACAAGGGGCAAGGTTATGGTCATTGCTTGGTCATAGCCAGCTACCCAGAGGGACCGAGTAGTTGATCCTGCGGGCTTGGGACCATAGTCGCAGGGGACATCAAGCTCAATTGGTATAACATACTATACAAAACATTGTTCCACCTCCTACTTTGGCGAGTGGCGACTGGGACTTAAAAGCTAGAAAGCTGCCATCTAGATGCAACAACGGGTCTCTCCTCATCAAGAAGAAAGAAGAAAACCAAAATTAATGGAAACAATCAGTCCTAGCGACTGGTACACCATCCGATCTGCAACCTATACAACTATGAGACCAGAAGAACTAGATGGTGTCCAGCTACCACTGCCATCCACTTGGAAGGGATGTAGGAGATCCTGCATAAAGAGGGAGAACAATGTGGAACAAAACCAAAAAACATTGGGAGGAAAAAAAAAAAAAAAAAGAAAGAAGGTGGGGACCAGGTTTGCTGGTCCAATAGAGCCTGGTGTAACCACTGAGACTATGGCCCCTAGCTGCCCTTCAGGTCTGGAATTGAACCCACAACTGTGGTTTCCAGCCAAACAAAGTACAGGCATGTGAGTTAAACATTTACCTCAAGTAGACACACGCCCTGGAGAGAACAATCATGGGAGAAGGAAGGGCTGCTTATGCACAGGGAGATAGCTCAGGGTGCAGAAGAGAATGAAGGGATGGACACTGGGAGGAGGTAACTATGGAGAGGAAGTGGGAGGGGAGCTGCTGCATTGTAAATTTTGGTCAATGACATGAGACAAAGTATATGTGAACTGCTGTATGAAAAGTGAATTTACTCTGTAAATCTTCACCCAAACCCTAATTAAAAAAAAAAAAAAAAAATCACCTGCATCAATCTGGGTTAGAGGAAATCTGTAGTAAATAGCAATTCACATGGGGAAAAAAAAAAAAAAAAAGCATTATTTAGTGCTTCCAACCCCATCCTGAGTTAGCAATCTAAATTTACTATCAAAAATTGAATGATAGCTAATACTGGATTACTAATGCATGTTGTTGTTGTTGTTGTTACGTGCCGTTGAGTTGGATCCAACTCATAGCAACCCCTCCTTGGGTTTCCGAGGCAGTATTACTATGGAAGTAGATTGCCCCATCTTCCTTCCAAGGAGTGGCTGGTGGGTTTGAATCACCAGCCTTCTGGTTAGCAGTCAAGTGCCATAGGCCCTACACTATCAGAACTCCCTTACTAATATAAGGGACACAATATTTTCACTATGTTCTTCCCAATTCAGAAAACATTTGGAGTCTTCTATTCAGTTCATGGAAATCATATTTTAAAATAAGGTTGTGTCCAGGGCATCATGATCATGCAGTGAAGTCTTGTTACATAATGAGTATTTTCAGGAAATCGGGATGTTGAAGAGAAGACTTTGGATTGTGGAGGTGATAGATGACAGCTATATTCAAGAAGTTAGAGGAGAGTGCATGGTAAAGAGCAGCATGAATCCAGTCCCCAGAATGTGGAGACTGATCCAGTCCCTGCCTTCCCATATCTTCATCCCTGTCACCAGCTGCCCTCAATGCACACACTCTTTCTGACTCTAGCCACTTGGAGCTAAGTCATAGCTTGCAAGTTAAAAGGATATCATGCTTCAAACTACCAGATACACAGACTCTAGTCACAAGGTTGGGGAGTCCACATGACATCTCAATTTTCTGACCTGCTGAACACAAATTTTTTGGCTAGTTTCGCACTACTCCCTCAGGATGCCAGCCACAGCTCAGGAGTTTGCACGATACCCTTACTTTCTGGCCTACTGGCTCCCACTCTCCCTTTGGGTTCAATAATTCACTGGAACAACTCACAAAACTCACAAAGAGTTATGATACTTATGACTACAGACTTATTATAGCCAAAAATACAAATTAAGGGATATATAGGGCGAGGCCTCAGAAGGTTTGTGATGTGGAGCTTCCATGTTCCAAGGGACATACTACTCTCTAAAGAACAGATGTTCTCATCAACCAAGTTCTTTGAGCCTCCATGTCCAGGGCTTTTATTGGCTAGTTCTTCATGATTGGCTAAATCATGCCTCCTGAAGCTAGTTGATACCAGCCTTCCACGTGAATCTTTTCTTATCTGGCTAGACCCCACACTTCAGCATAAATCCTCAGGTGTGGCCTGGAAGTCCCAGACCAAGACATTGCAATTACTACAAAAGTTATTTGTCAGGAACCAAGGATAATGGCCTTGGGAGCTCTGGTGGCTTAGTGCCTAAGGCATTTGCTTGCTAACCAGACCGCTGGCGGTTCAAACCCACCAGCCACTCCTCAGAAGGAAGACTGAGCAATCTACTTCCGTAGAGATACCGCCTCAGAAACCCAGGGAGGGGTCACTGTGAGTTGGAACTGACTCGACAGCAGTGAGTGTTTTGTTTTTTTTCTTTTTTGGTTTAAGGATAATGGCCACCTTAGAGTAAAATTCGGTCCTTTACTGCATAGGCAGTTGTATGAAAGTGGAATCTAACATCTTTTGCGTAGAATTTATTACAGTATTTGAATCAACATAAGAAATGATCCTCTAACAAGGAGAGTTGTCATAAAACAAAACTACTGTCTTATGAGCTAATGGATCTTCCCACTACTGGAAATGTTCCAAGAGGGGCTAGATTGTAGGAGAGGATTCATTCTTAGTGCTCTATTTTGGACTTGATGTGTACAAAGGTCTCTTTCAAATCTGAGATTTTGTCTGACTAATTTCTTGCTACTGTTAGTGATCACTTACATCCCTTTTCCAGCTTATGACATGAAAATATGAAACATGTATTTTGATGTCTTCCTCCCCACTCTGACTTTTTTCTCCTCTTCAGCTGTGCTATCTCCAAATAAGTATGATAAATACATTTAATACTACTATTAATGTAATGTAATGCTATTTCATTATTCAGAATCCAGATAGAGAAGAATATTGGAATTAAGCTCTTCTGTTCATATTAATATTGTTAATAATATACATTTATTTATGAACTTTTTGAGTTTTACTCTGAAACTAAATGTCACTAGGAAAACATTCACAAGAATATTTCTGGTCAATGTTTGCAATCAGTTATAATTGAAAACATTAGGAGACATTGGTGATCATCTGTAACGGTCTCTCAAGAGGCTCTTTGGGCTTTGAACAGTTGGTGCGGATTCTTGATAGAGATCTTCCACTGTCTTTGTTGCAGGTCTTTCAAGTTGCATATGTCATCATCAAAGCTGCTAATGCCCCTCGACCTGGAAACTGGATTTTGGAGCGCTCTGTGGATGGCACCAAGTTCACCCCCTGGCAATACTATGCAGTCAGTGACTTGGAGTGCTTGACACGCTACAATATAACTCCACGACGGGGTCCACCCACATACAGGGCAGATGACGAAGTGATTTGCACCTCGTATTACTCCAGACTGGTGCCCCTCGAGCATGGAGAGGTACTGTACCCACTATGGGGAGGTAGTTTTTCTGTCAGAGCTCCTCCTACCCATGTTAGCCTAGCCATTGTTAACCACTCAAAATAGAATTCTCTCAACACAGATTTCAATGATCTTTCCTGTAATTATCTAACTGTATTTGAAGTATCATTGAATGGTGTCTATTGATGATAAATTTCACAGCCAATACAGTTCACCTTATTGATTTGTTTTGTTCGAGGAGGCTCCTCAATTGTCACTTGGCTGTGATTTATGAACTCCATCAGATTCTCCTTTAGACTATTTTTGTCTTGTGTTGAAATACTAAAGAAAGAGGGAAAATGCTTCTGAAAGATAGCATGCCCAGTTTTCTCCATGAATTACACCTTCTCTTTGGTGGGTGACTGAATTGGGAGATAGCTCATGAAGTATTACAGCTCAGTACTTGATACACTCAGATTGCAACACTCCATTATATAGTCAGAGTGCAATTAAAACAATCCATTCCTTAGTAGCACCTGGCTTGATAAGATAAGACTACAAAAACTCTCTGAAGTTCTCCTCCTAGTGGGAACTGTGCAGTGAGTCTGTCTGGCATTCAAGAGTAAAGACTAGTTAAGAGAGCAGGAGGCTCTCTTATTTAGAGAGCAGAGGGTTTTGGACACTCTTTCTCCACTCTGTCTAGTCTATTCATGACATTTAGAATTTATTTCAGAGCAGCCATAGCATAATGATAGATGTTAAACTAACCTCAACTTGGGGAAAGTGGTCCTGTTAAAAGGTTTTCAGCAATCCCCAAGACACAGGTATGGATAACTTCAATAAATTGAAGATTTGTTGTGATTACAGTTGCTTGCAAATAGTTCACAAATATTAGAGATTTCTGTGAGAACATAGTTCTGTGTTGATTTTAGATAGTATCTTTTCTTTGGCATTAGTTACTATATTTACCGTAACATTAATGATAATATGCAAGTGTGCACACTATTCTTTCTTAAGCTCACTTTTTAAACTTTTTATTGTGATTTGAGGGAACTTTTACAGAGAAAATGGGTTTTCCATTCAACCATTTGTACACGTTTTGTTTTGTGACATTGAGTGCAATCCCCACAATGTAGCAGAACTCTTCCCACTTCCTTCTTGTGTTTCCCATTTCCATTCCTCCTTCTTTCCTATCCCTTCCCCTTCTGAGCTTTGTCCCTGGACAAAAACTGCTCTCTTCATCTTGTGTGGCCAGTTGTTCTAAGGAATGCATACCCCTGTAATGTTATTGTTCAGCTTATAGATTCGTCTATTGCTTGGCTAAAAGTTGAGCCATGGAGGTGAGTTCAGTTCCAGACTTGAAGGGTAACTAAGGGCCACAGTCTCAGGGGTTCCACTAGTGTCTATCAGACCAGCAAGCCTGATCTTTTTTGTGATTTTGAGTTTTGTTCTACATTTTTCTCCCATTCTACCTAGCATCTTCTATAGTGACCCCTTTCAGAGCAGTCAGTAGTAGTAGCCAGGTACCTTCTAGTTCTTTTAGAGATTGCACTTTTCAAGGTCCCATGTCTCAAGGTCCCATGTTTCCAAGTGTCTTTGATTTTCTTCACTCTTCTTTGCTTCAAAGAGAGAGATCAATAGTTGTACTTCAATTTAGATAGTATCTTCCTAAAGATTATGTCTCAAAGTTAAACAATTGAGACCGTATTTTTGCATGCTTAGAATTGAAGTGTGTTTATTTTGATATCTTTATCTTCAGATTCATACATCACTAATCAATGGAAGACCAAGTGCTGATGATCTTTCACCCAAATTGTTGGAATTTACTTCTGCAAGATATATCCGTCTTCGCTTACAGCGCATCAGAACCCTTAATGCAGATCTTATGACCCTAAGCCATCGGGAGCCTAAAGATCTTGACCCTATTGTTACACGAAGAGTAAGTAATTTGGCAGTTCTCCTGACAATTCTGAAAAGCTTATTTTCTTTAAGGGAAATATGCTTTTCTTTTTGGTTGGCTTTTTTCCTCCTTGCTGTTACATCATTATTTTTAGGAAGATCATCACATGCGATTTGTTAGAAATGGCACCTTTAAACTAGATGATGGTACAGATATCATGGCCTCAATCCCTTCAGCTCCACCTGATTCCCAAAATTCCATACTGTAGTGAATGGAGTGGCAGTTGTTCTTTACATATAGTCTGTTTCCACATCCGACTTGCAGCACGTGAGGGTTTAAATTTTTTGTTTTGTTTTGTTTTTTTTCACGTAAAGGAAAATATAAAACTTGACAGTTTACATTCAGGAAAATGTATAGATTTGAAGTGTGTAAGTGTACAGTGCTTGTATGGACATTGTCATATCCTTTGTATAACATGGAAGTGAAATTCTAGATTTTAGTGTAGTTGTGTGTTTAATTATTTAAGAAACTGCTAAAGGTTTTGCAAAAGTAGCTGCACCATTTTACAATCAGACCGGCAATGCATGAGAATTCTGGTTGCACCACATGCTTTCAAATATTTGATGTTGTCAGTCATTTTCAATTTAGCCTTTCTAAATGTGTGTGTAGTGGCATCTCCTTATGATACTAATTTCTATTTTTCTGATGACTAATGTTAAGCATGTGCTTTTGGTATCTAATCAATTTTTTTGTCCAGTTTACATTGGGTTATCTGTCTCCTTATTGGTGAGTTATAAAAGGTTTTTTTTTATATATATTTTGCAGGGTGAGAGTTGTATATATATATGTGTGTGTGTGTGTGTGTGTGTGTGTGTGTATGAACATATATATACACACATATATACATACCAAACTCACTGCCGTGAGTTGGATCCGACTCATGGCAATCCCTCCTTGGGTTTCTGAGGCAGTATGGCCACGGAAGGAGATTGCTCACTTTCGAGGAGTGGCTGGTGGGTTTGGATCACCAATATATATATATAACTGTCCATTGGAGCTTGCATATTAATTTTCTTAACTATGACTTTTGATTATCAGAAGTTTTAATTTTGAGAAGTATGGTTGGTCATTTTTTCTGTTATGGTTAAGGTTCTCTGTGTCCTCTCTGAAAACTATTTGCTATCCCAAGTTCATTAAGGTATTCTCCTGTATATTTTTGTAGTAGCTTTATAGACTTAGCTTTTACATCTATGGCCCACATCAAATTAATTTCTATATTTGGTGGAATGTAAGAGTCAAGGTTTACCACCTTCCCTAATTTGTACATCCAGCTGTTACAGCCCCACTTGTTGGAAATACTTGTCTTTTCCTCATTAAATTGCTTTGGTACTCATGTTGAAATTATTTGACATTATTATGGGCCTATTTCTGGATTTTATGCTGTTTCATGGATCTGTTTATCTATACTTACACCAATACCAAACTTTGTTCATTACTGTGGCTTCATAGTAACTCGTTTTTAAAATTTTTTGCAATGTTCCCTCCGCTCTCCTCCCACCCCTGGTAACCAACAAAGAAAGTTTACTTCCATATATAAACCTTTCCTTGACTTTTTACAATAATGAACTAATACGGTATTTTTCCTTCATTTCACTCAGCATAATGTCTTCCAAGTTCATCCACATTATGCAGTGTTTTGCAGATTCTATATTATTCTTTAGTGTTGCATGGTATTCCATTGTATGTATGTACCACAGTTTGGTTATCCATTCTTCTGTTGATGGGCACCTAAGTTGTTTCTGTCTTTTTGCTAATGTGAATAGTGCTGCAATGAACATGAGTATGCATGTATCTGTTTTTTGTACTGGCTCTCACTTCTTTAGGATATATCCCTAGTAATGGGATTGCTGGATCAAATGGTATTTCTAATTCCAACTTTTTAGGAAATTGCCATACTGCTTTCCACAGTGGTTGTATCATTTTACAGTCCCACCAGCAGTGTATGAGAGTCCAAATCTCTCTCCATCCTCGTCAACATTTGTTATTTTCTGTCTTGTTGAAGTTTGCTTTTAGTGCCTGGGACAAGATGGTATCTCATTGTTGTTTTGATTTGCATCTCTCTAATGACTAATGGGGAGCTCTGGTAGCATGGTGCCTAAGGCACTTGACAGCTAACCAGAAAGCTGGTGGTTCAAACCCACCAGTCACTCCTTGGAAGGAAGATAGGGCAATCTACTTCCATAGTAATACTGTCTTGGAAACCCAAGGAGGGGTCGCTATGAGTCACGCCCGACTCGAAGGCACATAACAACAACAACAACAACAATGGCTAATGATCATGAACATTTCTTCATGTGTTTGTTGGCCACTTGAATATCCTTTTTGGTGAAGTGTTTATTCATGTCTTCTGGCCATTTTTTAATTGGATTGTTTGTCTTTTTGTTGGTGAGGTGTTGGAGTTTTCAGCTTTATAGTAACTTTTGCTGTCAAGCACTGTTGTCCTCTAAATTTGTTCTTTTTCAAGATAATTTTGGGTATACTAGTTTGCTTGTATTTCATTATAAATGCTAGCATCACTTTGTCAATTTTTATTTTTTTGTTTTTTTTTAAAAAAAGCCTGCTAGATTTTCATTGGGATTCCAATGATTCTGTTGATCAATTTGGGAAGAACTGACGTTTTAACAATATTGAGTCATCAAATCTGTGAGCATACTGCCTCTCTATACTTATCTAGTTCTTTTTAAATTTGTCTTACCAATGTTTTATTGTTTATTTTTAAAAGTTTGTACATCGTTTGTTTAGTTTATTCTTAAATATTTTCTGTTTGTACATGCTAGTATTAATAAATTGTTGCTTTTTAAGTTTTACCTTCCATTTGTTTGTTGCTGGGATATAAAAATGCAACTAATTTTTCTTCAATGATTTTAGGTATTGTGACATTGATAAATTCACTTATTATTTCTGATACCTGTTTTGCAGATACCCTGGAATTTTCTATGCATACAATCATACCATCTATGGGAGATGACAATTTATTTTTACTGGGCACTTTGTATGCCTTTGATACCCTTTTTTCTGGCATTGCACTGGCTGGTATCTCCCACAGAATGTTGAATAGAAGTGATGAAAGACCTTAGGAGAAAAGCACTTTATGT